TGCTAAAATTTTATTGCAAGATTTTTGCAGGCAGCGTACCAGAACAATCACTGAACTATCATTCAAGTATTTTTGGCCACTCATTGTACTTGTTATTTCTTTAAAAGGCCGTAAAATTTAGGAAATTACGAAAAAATAATCCAGTCTTCATTATTTAGATTTGGTCTAAGTCTAAGTCTGTATTAACTGTTACCAATGTGGAACGGATTGCCTCTTCTAACTCCGTCATTCTTTCTAACATGTAATAGGTGAAGTTCTACCTAGTTTCCACGTCTTGGATTGGCCGTTTGGGATCTTTGTTATGTTGTAATTGATACTTTAAAGGCGTTTCTGAAGATAAGGTACTTTTTTGAAATGTGTTTTTTGCCGAATTGTCGAAAAAAAGACTTTTTATTTTATCTATTTGTACACGACAGTGCGTCCTCCATCAATAAATTTAACGTATGAGCAAAACAATTTAAATGTTTTCATTCCAAAGCATATTTAATAGCTATGACCATATTTGAGGCATTATCAGTTACTGCAAAATTTACTTTTTGTTTTAGACCCCCTGAATAATAATTTCACTAATTTTAAAAGCGATGTTTTCTTAATTATGGTTTCCAGAAAAATGGCAGCAGTCTAATTAAACCGTGTTAAACTCTAAATTTTCGGTTAAATTCGTTAAAATCAACTAGTTGATGGTTGAAGCTGGTTACTTCTATAAAAAAAAAAGAAAAAGAAGATTATACTATTGAAAATTGACTAGTACAAGAAAAAGAAACTGATAAAGATGACTTAAGTCCATGTAAATGTAAGTACTATTTGTATTGTTTAATTTATTTTTCAAGTTATAAAATATATTCTTCGTTAGTTTCTTTCACTTTAATACTTATACACATAAACGATAATAGCCAATATGTTTGTATACTCGCTAATTTGAATACTGGTAAACAATCAACTAGTTACAGTTTACGAAAAACGGTTCCGATAAAAATTTAAAAAACTAAAGGACCCACCTCTAGTTTCTTAGCTTTATGAGGATCGGAACCACAGAATATGTAAAATATCTCTGATCGGAACTAATCGTCTCACTAACAGGCAAAATGGGCGTCAAGAAGATTTATGGAGGGGAGACCAAGGGGGAATATGATTGTTATCTTTGTCTATTCGCTGAAAATATGATTTTATATCTGTGTTAGATATCCTGTTAAGTTTTACCATACCGACCATAAAATTTTACCTACACTGTATATACATTTACTTTATACTTTTATATATATATATATATATATATATATATATATATATATATATATATAAAAGCGAGTCTTCTACAGCTGGCGCCGCTTCTCGCATCCTAATTTCCAGCGTTTTCTGTCGAAACAATCTTCAGTTGTTAGATCTCTGGCGGTCATTGCATCGTCGACATCGTCTCTCCAGGATCGTCTTGGTCTATCTCGTTCGTTTTCTTCTAGTTGGCGGAGTCCATTCTTTTATTTTTTTTTTTTTTTTGCCATCTATTTTCAGGATTCTGTGAAGGTGTCCATTCCAGTTAAGTTTTTTGGCTTCGATTGTGTCTATTATGTCTAGATCGATTTCCATTTCTCTCCGAATACCTTCGTTTCTCACCCTATCAAGTCTAGTGAGATGGCAAAATGGTCTCCAGTAGTTTATTTCCATGGCCTTTTTTTGATTATTATTTTTTAAATTCTTCTTTTATTTTTTTTTTTGTTATTTTTTTTTTGCCGTCATATTTTTGTATGACGGCTATGATAGCTGATCACTTAAAAATGGTTTCTATGAATCGGCGAAAAGATTATTTTTGCCTAATATTCCTTTACAAAATTGTTAATAATTTGATAAATAGCCCTGAACTTTTAAATCGATTAGGTCTTAACACTCTTCATGGAACTAGACATACTTCATTATTTCATCCGCCATTTCATCAATTTAATTATGAATACTTCAAGCCTCTTACTCATATGGTTAGACTATATAATAGGTACCAAAGTGATCTGGACTTATTTTTCCAGTCCTTAGAGCAATTTAAAAATGTGATAAAGAGACTGCTATTTGTGTAATATTAGTTTGTATTCAAGTTAATTATTAGTTTTTGTTAAACTTTACTAATTATTTTCCAATGTTGTGCTTACTTTGTAAAATTTTATATATTATATGTTGTTGCAATGTAAAAATGGTATATTCGTTAATAAATAAATAATAATAAAGCATGGAAAGTGGTACAGTATCGTATGCCTTTGTCAGGTCTTTTCTTCTTTTCTTTTCTTCTACATATGTCATCCCTTTTTCAATTTTATTTTTTATTATTTTTCCATACAGTCTTGAGAGTGAATTTATGACACTTAGCTAGTGCAATTTTTTCTATCTCCTTTTTTGTAGATGTTGTTAATATGTGCTTCTGTCCACTCCGGTGGTAAGTCGTGTCCATTATAGAATAAGGTGAAGACATACGCCAGTAATTCCCGTAATACTTGTGGGCTATGTTTTAATAATTCATTTGGTATACCTTGTGGTCCGCATGACTTCCGATTTTTTAGAGTTCGTATTGCATTCTCGACTTCCTGTGCTGTTATTTCATCGTCTTCACTGAATTCCAGTTCATATGTTGTTGTATTGATGTTCATGAATTGAGGTCTTTTTTCAGTCAAAGTTATGAGTAGTGTTCGATCCAAGATCTTTCTTCTATTAAATCTATTTTACTCGTTTCTTTTCTGTTTGTTTTTTTTTCTGTTCGTTTTCCATGCTTCTCTTGACCTTGTTGACCCTATATATTTGTTAAGTTTTCCGCATTTACTTTCCCAGGAAATATTTTTTGCTTTAGTTACTAAATTTTTTACTTCTCTGTTTGATCTTGCATTATGTTCGTCTATCAGCTGGATCATTTGTTTGCAGCCACTTTTGATATGCTTGTTTCTTGTTGTGTACTGCATTAGCGATGTCATTTGTCCACCACAATGGAGTATTCTTTTTGTTCTTTTTTATTGTGCCGAGCGCTTCGTAAGCTGCTTCATTGATTTTATTGATTATCTCTTTATAGGTATTCTGGGCTGAGGAGTAGAGCAGGTTTGCCAATTTTTGGCGGAGTCGCAGCTTATATAAGAATAATCGAGTAATTTTGCAGTGCATCAATATTATATTTAGGTAGATTCGATTCCAGGGTTTTGATTGAGCTAGTTGGTTGTCATTTTGATGTAATAGCCGAGGTCGATACTGTAGCTAACATTTTGATCTTACCATATAGTGGTCAGTTCCGCACTCCGATCCTCTTAATACTCTTATGTCTTCAACTTGTATGTGTGTTTCTTGTTTTGTGATGACATAATCTATAATTGACTTTGTGTTTCTCGTTGGTTGAACCCAGGTGTACTTATGTATGTTTTTATGTTGGTAGAATCCGTTTAGGATTTTCAGAGAGTGCTGTTCACCGAATTCGATTAAGTGTTCCTATTTTCATTGTTTAGCGTCCCATATTTTCTACGCTTTGTCATTTGTTTTTGTTACTCTCCAAGCGTTAAAATCTCCCAACAACACAATTTCTTTGCTGTTATTTATATTTTCAATAAGTTCCAATAAAGTTTCGTAGAATATTTGTTTAGCTGCTTTTGATGCATTTTCTGACGGAGTATATATTCCAATGATCTCGAGGTCGTGCCCTTTCCACGTAATAGATACTCTAATAATTCTCTCATTGATCTGCTTCCAGCTTTTAAGGTTTTCTTTTAAGTATATTTTTATCAATATTGATACCCCTGCTTGTGCTCTTTTGTCTTTCTCTACTCCACTATAAATATGTATAAATCCTCCTATGTCTTCACTACCTTGGCCTTTTTTCTTTGTTTCGGTAAGAACTGTGATATCTGATTTTATTTTCTTTACTTCTGCCATGACTTCGTCTGACTTGGTTCTTCACCCTTGGATATTCCATGTATTTATATTCAAAGTCCTTGTTCGTTTGCTACGCGTCTTCGTTTTTTCCCGTCCGTATTCCGAGGCTGGATTTTAGGATTTTTTGCAGTAAGTTTTTCACGGGTGTAGAGGAGCAGGCCCTACGTCCCAACCCCCTACCAGGAGGACCAGGATTTTCTGTTAGGGTTTACTCCCTTAGTCGAGAGAAGAGTAGTAGAGTGTAGTAGACAGAATTATAGTGACCCGTCCGCCCTCGGATTACCCTAATAGCCACTCGGGGTCTGAAAAACAAGAGTTAGCCAAGAGAGGCCGATAGGAAAGATTAAAGACATTTCACTCAAGACACGTTGAAAAAGAGCAAAATGTGAAGACCCCTATGATCCGCCAGGTGCGTTTCATAAGCGTATGAGTATTGGTACACTTTGTATTCCCGCTCATACCTCGGGGTGTCGACTACAGACTGTATGGCTCGTCCATCATGCCATAGCATGGAGGATAGGGTGCATGTCATTTTTACAATGTAGACCCCTAAACTACACGGCCTGACAAATATATCAAATAATAAAATGGTTTTATGGTAGTAATTCTGGACAACAGTGTGTAGATTTATTTTCTGTATTTTTTGAGTGGAGACCAATTTGATCTAATGATCTAATTGAAATCGAAAATGATCAGATTAGAAATACCGAAGAGTAGACAAAAAATACGAGTAATAATCTTCGAGTAATAATAAGAAACCGCATAGAGAAAGTTTTATTAACCTGCAGTCCAACATTGCCTTTTTGGAATCAACAATCCTAAATTACACTGTAAAACTATCTAAATATACAGTACACATTTGGGATTTTTTTTGCAAATTTTTATTTCTAATGAATTGAAGCATTCGCAGCGTTTTAGAATCATGATAATTATATATAAACATATCACGATATAAAACCACTGACACAAGCCAATCACAAGTAGTGTACTTAATAAATAAATCAATTAATATATTTAGGGGAAGATAAAAGTACTTACAGTTCCTAAACCGCTACTTAAAAAGACAAAAAACCGTTGGGTGTGTGTAAGAAACATTTTAAACTCAGTTAGTAAAACCCATATAGTAACGTTACTGAAAATTATACATATCTGATTTTTTTTCTAAGATTAAGATATATAGATAGAAGATTAGAAACATTTTAAATACATCAACTAAATTTAAAATATCCGTAATAGCGTAACATTAAGTGGATTATTCAGTTAGTTTTATCAAAATTACGTTATGTTACTGAAACGACTAAATCTAATTTATCAACAATATCACAAAATGCAATACAGAATGCTTTAAGTTTTCGATTACTATTTGAATTGGAGATAGAAATAAGTAATAATGAGAAAATATGCACAAAAAATTAAGGAAATATGAGAAAATGAAATATGAAATATATGAAATATATATGTTATGGACCATATGATTAATTGGTCATTTTTCATAATGTCCGGGCTATATAAAAAATGCCCAATACTCTCGGCACCTCTCGGTCAATATAATAAATACTATTAAATTCATCACATTGCCCGGTCATTATGTATAATGCTTGGCATCTACTAGACAGGATGATTAAAACTACTTTTATTTTTATTAAATATGAAATATATTTATTTTGATACAATCAAGTATGTAGTAAAAACTAAAATATTTCTTATATACTAATGAAAACAGTCTTGCAGTCTTCTGTGAAATGGCAAATAAGTACATTTAATGAATAAGTATACATAAAAAATATAATACGTATTAACGGTAATTGAGGAAACCAAAAAAAGAATTCTGTGTTTTTATTTGCATTTTTTTCTAATGACCGAAATCGATGGTAACACACAAAGCGGCCAGTGAGAAATTAAATCGTTTTTCTTCTAAATCAAACTCAATTTTAAATAAAAATACACTTACCACCTTTGCGTGCTACATCATCGAAATTTATTTTGTATGAATGATTTACAATACATAACTATTTGTTGAAACATGTTCCACTATGGAGGCACTTGGAGTTACATATTTTTTTTTCTTTACGACACTTACACTTATCGGATTTACACCCACCTTTACAACCGCACCTACTGTATCCTTGTCCCCCACAGTTAGAAGATTTTCTTGCGCATTCTCTAAGAGATATCTCAGTGTCTGGAATTTCTTCTATGGAGATAAACTTTTCTTTACAAACGGTAAACTGGTTTCTTAAATATAACTGATTTAGTATGCCATATTTTGTGCCTAGTTTGTAAAGCTTTTTTTCAGTTATCTCTGTCACGATAGCTAGTAGATTTCTTTGATAACTACGAGCTCGGTCCACATCTGGCACTCGTATCCTAACTGTGTTACCTAGTTTAGCCGATGGATATTTGGAATTGGAAAATTTTAACATCTTCTCGGCTTGTTGTTCTAGATTCGTCAAAGCTATTTTTCTTTTCTTCCTTACATCGTTTATTCTAATATCTATATTGGAATCCAGATTTTCATTATTTTCTAAATTAACTACAATAGCCGTTTCTACCGCATTTGTTAAAAATTCTGGAACTTGACTAGATTCACGAGATGAATCATCATTAAAATTGCTCCAATTTTTTGAACGTCCAGGGTGTAGCCAGATGATATGGAACTTGATTCGGGCAACATTATTGAAGAGTCCACATTTATATTATTATTTTGTATTATATCCGGTTCTGTAGATAGCCCAGCCTCTTGATTTTTGAACAGGACCTCTAAGTCTTCCTCCGATAACTTAGGTCTAACTAACGAATATCAGTCAGAACTTCTTGGGGTAGAGAGCTTTTTAAACCAACTTTCAACTTTGTGCCGAACATGGCTTCATATGGACTACAACCTATACTAGTGTGATGAGCTCTATTTTTCATTAGTTGAACAAAACGTAAGCCTTCAGACCATTTGTTTGTATTGTTGTCTTTAATCCACGAACTAAGCATATTCTCTACGTCTTGATTGGCCCTTTCTATAGATCTTGGACTCTGAGAATGCCTGGGTTTGCCATGTACCATTTTTAACTCGGGTCACATGCTACACAGCTCTTTGATAATATGGTTAGCGAATTCTCTGCCATTATCACTATGAAGCACACTCGGCGCCCCAAATATTGTGAAAATATCCAAAAGTACATGCGATACTTCTTCTGCTCTTTTACTTGTAAGAGGTCGAAGTTGGACAAATTTGGTAAGATGGTCTTGATAAACAAGCACAAATTTATAACAGCCATCGGCTTGTGACTGCATATCGATTAAATCGACTTGGCATCTTGAATTCATTTCCTTGCTCAATATTGGTTTCACCACCAAGCCTTTCTTTGGAACATTATGTTTTTTCTGACAGGTCATGCATAAATTTAAATAGATAACAATCATCTCCCTTGAAATATTTTTAAATTTAGAATGTACTTCCTTCTCCATTCGGTTTCTACCACCATGCCCGATAGTAATATGAAGATCGCGCAATGTATCAAATATTTTTTCTGTATGGACGTAGTATTTAATTACGTTATCTTCTTTCACAGGAACAATCAATTTTTTTACTTCTCTAATCGTCATAACGTCGAATCTTCGTAAGCGCTGATAATCACTCGGCGTTTTATTTGTCTGTTTACTTTTAGAGTTTTTTACCTTCTGTATCATTTCCATGTAGGCTGTTTTTGTGAAAATTTGTGAATTTTGACTTATTGCTGAAATTAATTCAGTTAACCGATTGTTAAATCGATTTTTCATATCACTTAATGGTTCTTCTTTTTCCATAGTTCATTATGCAATACTTTATAAACAAAGAATTAACAAAGAAATGTCACAAACAAACCACTTGTCGTATATACCATTACTAACATCTAACTGCAATATGATTCGATTGTAACTGGATACAGGCGTTGATCGCGCTGAAGACGCTGATAAGAACGCGATTTATCACATGCCGGCCATATAGCATTTTTCATAATGACCAGACAATATGATAAATTGTAAAAAGTTATCAAATTGCCGCTGAAGTTAGTCATTATTAATAATGACCGGGCATTATACATAATGGCTAACATAATCACTTTGTCCACAACACATATAATACGCCAATATTTTTTTCTAAAATAAAACAATTAAATTTAGTAGTCATAGTACTATTAAAAAAATATTGTATTAGGATGTTTAAATTTAATATATAAATAAAATCACAAACGTTTTTTTTTATGAGTTTAATGAAAACTAAAACATACAACATGCCAACATGGCGCTTAAAATCTAACAACATTTGCACACAGTGCGCATGAACTTAAAAATTAAAACAGTCTATCCAACATATTACTTATAATACAAAAATGTTTCTGAACCTTACAGTTTAAATATTAATAGTTAATTTACTTATTCCAACATATTGTTTTGCTACCTATTACAAAACAGGTATTTATAAAAATAATGAACACATTTTACGAGTGTATCACTGATATTGACAAAACAATAAATAATTAAATGCTTTTCAAAATTGTCTATAAAAAACTTAAGTCTTCGATCTGATTACATACTTGTAAACAGAAAAGCTGCTATAAATTCAACATGCCCTTGTGTCAGTTGGAAAAGAAACCCTCAAACCACTTGGGAAAAAAAACAAAACTTGGATGGCCGTATAAATTCTTGAACTTATGTAAGAACGAAGAAAACCTAAAGCAAAAGACCTGAATAAAAATAAAGAAATTAAAACATCAGAAAGAAAATTCGAGAGGCAAAAGAGAGCTCTATGACAGATGCAAGGAAATAGAAGATCTGTGTACAAAAAGGGTGTACATATGTGGGAAATTATTAGTATAATTTCCGTGTATGTGGACTGTATTATATAGGGCTGGTTCAATAAAATTAGGATATGTAATAAAAAGTATACAGACAATAGCAAATTATGTTTATACAAAATCTTACCAGTATTTCTGCTCCACACTCTCACGGTTGTTTCTGGTCTTCACTCGTGGTTATTCTGCACCCGCGAAATCTGTCCGATGCACCGGTTTCTGAACACGTGTTTCGCACTAATATCACGATATAGAGCACACTTTGCCTGCACACGATTTAATACAGTATTTTCGATATTTCTCGCGTAACTAAAGCGGGAAAGAGGTAATTACGATAGAAAAACAGCCAAGATAGATGCTGTTCTTCTTGATAATCGAAGAGAGAGAGAGACAGAATGACTGTCTTTAGCGGTAGCCGAGAATCCAAAAAGGCACGACTCACCTTGGCAGTAGTCAGATCACGAGAGAGGACGTCTGGCCCTAGCGATGGCCAAACTAAGAGAGAGCGTGTCTTTCTTCTTTGCTATCTTAACACTGTCTGTATTTCTTAAGGGAGGGGGTTAAACTGGAATAGGAAGGGTTATCAATTGTGATATAAGGATAGTTAATAATTCAGCGAAAAAATGACATGATTTTTCGCATGTGAGAAAATTGAACAATCTGAATAAAAAGTATGATAGCTTTAATTTACACAAAAAAATCAAAGAAATGACAGGTTCTATAAGAATCACAAGAACGAATATCCTTAAAAATGATAAACAGGATATTATTACAGATATGAAGGAAATATTGTGTCACTGAACCAATTACATCCAAAAGCTATATAATGATGAAAGAGAAGAACTATCATTAGAAACCACAGAGATTACACAAATTGGACCACATATTGGACCACAAATATTATGTCAATATTATGTAAGATAATATTATGTAAATATTATGAAAGAAGTCATCTATGTCATTAAAAACCACAATAACGAAGACCGGCCCATCGAATTATTAAAAAACATTGATGAAGATGTTATCGATGTAATGGTTGAACTCTTTAATCTAGTATATCAGACTGCCACAACATCCAGATTCCCAGATCCCCAACGGCTGCAATCAACCTTTGTGGCAATACCAAAAAGTCAAGTGCAATATCCTGCTCAGATCACAGAACAATAGTTTTAATGAGTCACACACTTAAAACATTTTTAAAAATAATTCACAGCAGAATCGTTAAAACTCTTGAGTTTGAAATTAGTGACACACAATTTAGCTTTAGAAATGGTATAGGCACAAGA